GGGAGCAGTGCTGGATCTTAGGGAGGTGGTGATAAAATGGATACTCCGCGGGCCATCCCGTTCCCCCCTCCCTTCGAGGGCTCTGCTGATAAGGGGAGAAGGAGGGTTAATCCCAAGACCCCTCTTGGTGACCGTTGCTTGCTGCATGGTTAATAGGTTGGCAAAAAATATTGCTTGTGTGGCTGATGGACAATATTTGCTGAGCAAATACTGCCCCTCTTGCGTGAACCCAGTTGAGCAGCGAAGGAAATTAAATGCTGTCCCAGAGTTGGGACGGGCACTGTCTCCCCAGGACGGGCCTGGGCAGGAATGTTAGCTAGGTGCCCTCCACCAGGGCAGAGACCCCCTCAGCGAGGTGTGTCTCGTGTGGCACTTACTTTGGGGGACCCTCATCTGCTGGACTTTGACTCCCAGAATCACCCTATTTCCAACCCCTCTCACTTTTCCAGGGGCCTGGGAGCCCGTGGCCTGAGATCCCCCTGTCTTGGAAGCTGAGCTTTGGGAAAAGGGGAGATGGCTACTGCAGGCCCCTGAGGCAGCAAGTCGTCTTCAAGTTCTCATCCAAACTCTCCAAACTAGAGAGCCTTGGGTCAGGGCTGGTGTCCAGGGAAGTGGTCCCAGAACAGGTGCCACTTCATGTCCCGAGTGCACGGGCAGAGCTGGGGCTTCGTGTCCCGAGTGCATGGGCAGAGCTGAGGCTTCGTGTCCCGAGTGCACAGGCAGAGCTGGGGCTTCGTGTCCCGAATGCACGGTAGAGCTAAGGCTTCGTGTCCCGAGTGCACGGCAGAGCTGGGGCTCCTGTGGGCCCAGGACGCAGGGATGGTGCTAGGCCCATCACACAGCCTGGGCATCCTCTGTAGTGCACACTGGGTGACTCCAGGGCTGGCACGCGCCATGCTCTGTGCTGGGACGGGATGGCCCTGGGGCTGTTTTCTGCCCTCTCAGTGGTGATAACGACATGGACTGCGTGTGTACTGAGCACCTACTGCAAGCCAGGCCCTGCGCTGGGCTCCTGCACTGCAGCTGAGACCGCGACGGTGCCCACCTTCCAGAGTCGTCACTGCCCGCCCGCGCCTCCTGGGTCCCTAACCGCGGCCTCCTTGCTGCTCCAAGCGGGTCAGCCCTTGTACCCTGCCGTTCTCTGCCTGCTTGATGTTTGGTGCCTTTGTGTCTCTGCAAAAATGTCACCTCGGACTCCTCTGAAGTGGTGCCCCCCACCCCCGTCAATGTTGCCCACCTTCTTCCTGTCATCCGCGCTTTGCGAAGCTGTTTTAGGATGTCTTTGCTCTCCATGTTTGTCTCCCGCAAGAACTTGTAAACTGAAGGAGAGCAGACACTGTCCTCTGTGTCTCCTATGGGGTCTGGTGCTGGGAAGAGCTCGGCGTGTAGAAAGTGCCCGGGAGACCCAGGGCCAATCCCAGGCCCATGTGCTTTGCCCGAAGTGGCTCTGACTGGCTGTCCACCTGCTCCAGCAGGGTCACGTGCGGCTGCCTGCCGGCAGTGGGTTCAGTGGGTTTTGGTGACTTCAACTTAGACCAGCGGTCCCCCAGGTCATAATGAGACGAGTCTGCTTCTGCGTGGCATTAACACAGCCACGGCACCCCGGGGTGGTTTCATGTCCCTTCCTCTGCCCTTCGGAGCCTGCCTGGGAAAGTACGGGGCTTCTGCACAAGTCATAACCTCATGATCGCCCCACACGTGTCTCTTGGTTGACCACATTTTTTGTCAAAGTGTAGTGGTTTTTCCCCAAAGTTCAGATAAATCGTAATCATATAAATAGTAATGACTGATTAAGTACTCCGCCAGGCAGTGTTCTGTGCTGCCCTTCACAGCCATCAACTCGTTTACTCCTGGAGGAGCAGCCTGCCCTCGGCTCTGCCTCCTTCTCTCAGTCTCTCTGTCCCCACCCACGTCTTGGGGGATCTTCCTACTCTGGGATGCTGGAGGATGGGACACTCAGGAGTCGGAGGAAGCCCTTGTAACCCCAGAGGCTGGCTCGTGCCCGCGGGACACTGCAGTGATGTAAACAACCACACACAAGTGTAGACTTGCCGGGGAGGTGTAGCCTGCCTGCGGGAGTCCTGTTACCTCCCCCCAGACCCCACATGTGCTGGGACCAACTCCCAGCCCCAGCCCCTGGGGCAGGCCCCCCACTCACAGCCCCTTCTTCCCCCAGGCAGACCACCCTCCCTGCCTGTCTCAACAGGGCCCCCTCGCCCTGTGCCTGGGGCAGGTCTCTGTACCTCTTTTGTGCCTCATGCAGGTCCCTGCCCCTTTTCTGTGCCCTGGATGGGGCACATAGGTTGTTCTGTGCCCGAGGCAGGCCCCCACACCCGTTCTGTGCCCTGGGCAAGCCCCCGCCCCCTTTCTGTTCACTGCTGGGTGGGACACAGGCCGTTCTGTGCCAGGCAGGCCACACACACCCAAATTCTGTGCCTGGGCAGGCCCCGCCCCCTTTCTGTACCCTGGGTGGGACACGCCGTTGTCACCGAGGCAGGCCCCACACACCACGTTCTGTACCCTGGGCAAGCCCCGCCCCTTTCTGTACCCTGGGTGGGACACACAGGCCATTCTGTGCCAGGGGCCGGCCCCACCACACCGGCAAGCCCCCGCCCCCTTTCTGTACCCTGGGTGGGACACACAGGCCATTCTGTGCCCGGGGCAGGCCCCCACCACCTACATGTTTATATGTGCTCCTGTAGTGGAGGAGGAGTCCCCCCTTGTCCTGTCCCTGTGTCTGTATGTGCTGTGAACACAGCAGGCACTCCCTACATGTTGGCGGTGGTGGTTGTGAGCTGAGGAGGGCCAGGGTCTGGCCTGGCTCAGGGTGTGCCTGCAGCCCTGGAGACAGCATTAATGATTAACGGAGGATGGAGACGGGAGCCCTGTGGCAGGGCTGAGGACCTGCAGAGGGGCGTGCTGGACTGGGTGTGCTGGGGTGGGTGGGGCGGTATGGCTGACCTGAGCCAGCCATCTTGATTTTCTACTCTTAAACCAGGGGCAGTGGTTTGTGGGGACAGGAGGCCTGAGGAAGCCCTGCTGGCCTCTCCCTTGCTCTTGCTCTGACCGGGAACTCTGGGTGCTTGGGAATATGGCTCTTGCTGTCCCTTTTGTATCCTGTGACGGCTCTGTCCCCTGGTTGTGCTGACCAGAGGACACAGGAAGCCCCCTGCCCTTGAAGCAGTGCTGTGACCGTACGTGCCCGGTCAGTGCTGCTGTTCTCTGCCTGGGGTCCTCCCAAGAAGGCTGGGGTCTGAGAGGTGTATCCAGGGCTGCGTCAGACTGCATCTTCCCAGATAGCAAAGGCCATCCTTATCTGGCCTCAGGCCACAGAACAGGTTGTGCCGGTCCCTATATCTCCCAGGAGATAGGCCAGGCCCGCTTAGCCCAGTGGGCTGCACCACCCCTTCCCGCATGCTGGCCACACAACCCCAGTGACGCTGGCCACGGTGCTCTGGGCTGGGCCTGGGCCACAGGGAGGTGGCAGAGTGCCCAGGAGTACATTGGCCACCAGCTTCAGGCGGACACCACCATTCTGGTTTGGTGTCTGTGAGTTTTTGTTGATGTGTATTTTTCAAACAACAAATCACTTTCACCTGGTGACTTTCACCTGGTTCACACAGCAAGCTCCGTAAGAAGGTGTGTGCTGAAGCTTGAGCTGTTCCCTGACTGGCACACGGGCCACTCAGAAGGTCCACGTGTGTCCCGGGAATAAAGGTGGAAGGAAAGCACCCAGCATCCCAGCTTGGTGGCCAGCGGCCTCCTCTAACGCCTGTGCTTCCACATTCTCTGCTCAGCGTAAACCACAGGACATCACCCAAAACGCTGCGGAAGCTGCCATGCACAGACAGTTGTGCTTCAGAAACCTCAGGCTACTGATTGTGTGCGGCCCCCGGCCTCCCAGGGCTGTCCATGGGCGAGCTGTGACCCCTGCTGAAAATGGCCCAGAACGCTGGTGGGCTTAGGGTGTGAGCCTGGAGCCAGTGGGCCTTGGCCAAGGGGAGGGTACAGGTTTTTGGACACAGCCCGTGGTGGGGAATGTGAGGGTGTGAGGGACTGGCCCAGGCACCTTCCTGCCCTGCCCTGCATCCTGGAGGCTGAGCCAGGTGGTCTGTCTATGAACCCCAGTGGGCCTGGTGGGCTTCACAGAGTGGCCAGGATTCCAGGAGCAAAGGCCCAGGCATAGAATCTGGGCTGGCTCTTGGCTGCTTGGGGCCGGAAGTATGACCTGGCCATGTGGGGGCTGGGCCCAGCCCGCCGAGCACTGCATGTGGGGCCTGACAGTGTCACTTGGACCTCTGGGCACCGCTGAGACCACACTGTTGGTGGTGCCAGTGGGGGCTGAGTTTGTGCCAGGGGCGCTGTGAGTCCAAGCCTGGCTCAACTCTCAGACAGATGGGGGTGGGGACTGAGACCGCAGACATTTGGGCTCAGTGAGGAGAGCCAGGGAGAGGGCAGGCTTCGGCCCAGGGAGCTCCTTGTGGCTGCTTCCTGGTCTCCAGGTGGGGAAACTGAGGCCTAACGAGAGGAAGTGCTTTACCCACAGCCATGGGGCAGGGGTGCGGAGCTGAGCCAGGGCCCGCCCTGTGACAGTGAGGGGCTGCCTGGAAGCTGTGTGGATTCCTGTTCCTCCCAGAGAGTCTCACCGCCGTGGGCAGGGGCTGCTCCCTCAGGGGAGGTGGACGCAGGGGCCGTGAAAACAGTCACTGGCCCCTCGGTCCACGTGGGTGCCCGCCACCTGTCCAAGCCCTGTCTGGGGGCCAGCAGCTCCTCAGGCCCTGCCATGGCTGGAGCGGGACCTGCACCTGGCCGCTTTGGCTCTGGGAAGGTTCCGCGTCCTCTGCCTGTGGCTCTGCCCCTCGCGGGCCCTGCCTGGTGGTTTGCTGGCCTCGGGGTCAGGGCTGTTACAGTAGGACGGTCCCTGGCCCTCTTCCCCATCCCCTCCTGCCTGGCTGCTTGGCCCTGTCACTTCTTGGCTCAGGTTTCCAAGGCCTTCCCGTCCTTGCTGTGACTATGCCGCGTGCCTGTGCGTCCGCACGTGCTGCGCACCATTGCGGTCAGGGTCTCCCAGGGGTCCCTGTGACTCACTGCACAGTCCTCCAGCAGGGAGCCAGACCCATACCAGACCCGGGCTGGCCCCACCCCCTCTTTCCTGGACTAGACTCTCGTGCCCCAGCTGTTCCAGCTGTCCTTACGGGAGATCTGTCCCCAGATGTCCCCCGTCTCCTGCCTTTGTGGGGTTGCTTCTCTAGAGAAAGAGAAGTGCCCAGAACTGGCCCTGCTGTCTGTGGGTGGCAGTTTTAAGGCTCCTGATGGTTGTGAGGGCCTGTTCCCTGCCGAGGGGCCCGTGTTGGGTATTTACCCGGGCTTGTGTTTTCGTCACTCTGGAAGCCTCGTTTCGCTGTGTTTTCTGGCTGGTTGTTGCTGTTTGTCTGAGAAAACTTCTTCCCACCTGGCATCTCTACCTGGGCACTTTGTTGGATTCTCTCGTCAGCACAGACAGTTTCTAGGGGACTCTTGGGGGGTTCCCATAGGCCCTGCTGGCATCTGCACATGGCTGTGACGTTGCTGCTTTCCCGCGTCTGTGTTGCAGGACTCCTCGCACCTTACTGCGTTTGTGTGTCCGGAGCGTGAGGATTGGTGTTGCTGTTTGCAGGTATCTGTGTCCCTCCCTCCTTCCCTGTTTCCCGGCATTCTGATGGGCGCCCTGTGTTGTGCGGGATGCATCTCTGGTCTAGCATCAGGTAGGGGTGGCCCTGCTCACCCAGCTTATGCCGCCTCCCTGCGCTTTCTTCCCAGGCCCCACGGCACCCGTGCTGCTGCTGTCGGTCTGTCCTTGAACTCTGGACGTGGCCCTGGCGTCTCCTGTGTTAGTGGAGTCTCATTTCGGGTTGCTTTGCCGATGGTTCGGAGTTTTGCCGCCCTGTTTCTAGTAGAGTTAGTCTGGTAGTGTTACTTCCGCTGGTTCTGCATTTTGGTTGGGAACTTTTCATCTTTTTCTGTAACGACAAAATGGCATAAGAATTAACCGCTTTCTCAGCAGCTGGACGGAACACTTGAGTCCCAGTACTCCAGCCCATTTAATGGTGACCAGTTAGAGACCCCAAGTCAGCATGGTTTGGGGTGGGGACACGGGTAACGAGGGAGGGGCCACGGGACCACCTCATTAGAAGTGGAGGCTGGGGGAGAGGAGCCCGGGATGCCCTGGCCAGGTCAGGAGGGCCTTCTAAGTAGGAGGACCACAGAGCTGGGCCAGGGTCCCGGGGTGGACCCAGCCTGGCTGCTCTGAGTCAGAGGCAGCCACAGGAGGAGCCCAGCCCACCTGAGTCTCCAGGAGCCCCCTGAGTCCTGCAGGAGGAGCCCAGCCCACCTGAGTCTCTAGGAGTCTGAGTGACCCCTGTGTCCCAGGCTGTCCTCTCCAGGCTCCCCCTCCATACTCCCCTACCCAGATGGCACCAGGACCCCCTCTGGCCTCAGCTCCTGCGTATTTCAGGAGCCCACAGGCGTGACCACCCTTCAGTGCCCCAGTCTCCTGCCCCTGTCAAGATGAGCTCAGTGGGTGGCCCCAGGCTAGAATCCAGGCTCTGGGCCTCAGGACCCCTGGGGCGCCACCTCACCCCTGCTGAGGCAGTCCCGGGCTGGGGATCTAACCCTTCTCAGTGGTCCAGGGTTAGGCCCTGACTACCCCTTCGTGGCCCATGACAAAGCCATTTGTCCCTAAACAAGCGTCAGCATGTAAGCGGCCCCCAGGTCTCTGAGGGAGGGCCAGGGCTTGTGGTGTGCGATGTGTGTGCTCGTGCCATGCATGTGCCTCCCCCAGAAACCCCTCGGGCCTGATGCCCTCCCCGGCCCCACCCCAGGAGCATGTGGCATCTAGAGTGGTCGTGGGGCAGCAGCTGGGAGGCCCGTCGCTGAGCCTGGCCTGCACTCCCTGGGAGAGCTGGCCCACAGGGCCTCCGGGGAGGGTGCCTGCTGTTTCTTTGGGAACCTGGGGAGGTGGCTGGTGGGGAGAGCTGGCCGTCCAGATCTGTCAAGCCCCACAGCTGCGTGCCCCTTGTGTGGGTGTGGGTCCCTCTCTGGGCCCCGCGCTCACGGTGAGGCCTGTGCGGGGGGTCACGGGGCCGGGGGCTGTGTCAGGATGTGACAGCAGTCAGAGTGTTCCAGTGGGGAGGCCTGCAGGACCCACAGGCCCCCAGCCACCCTCACAGAAGCTCCACAGCGGCCACCTGCCTGTCAGACACCTTCTGGCCAATCTCTGGAGGTCCCAGCTGGGGGCTGAGCTACAGGCTGTCCAGGACTGCAGCAGAGTGGATCTGTGGCTGCCCACCCCTCCCGGCCCCTAGTCCTCCACTCTTGTCCTTCTCCATACCCTCCAGGGAAATGAAGAGGATGAGCCATCCCCACACACATGTCCTGGTCTGCCCCTACCAACCCCATGTGGGGATGTGGGTTGTGGAAGTCTGGGGTCTCCTGCTGTACAGCCTGGAATGTCCAGATCCTGTGGGAGCTGTGGGAGGTGCCGGGGCCCCTCGAGGCACTACTGCACGGGGCCCCCCATCCTGGTCAGCAGGGTGGCCCTGGGTGGGACTTGGCTGTGCCCCTCCCTGGGTAGGCCTTGCAGAGCTGGGTGGGGCTACGCTTGGATGGACACTGACCTGTTCTGGGGGAGGGACGCTGGAAGCTGAAGAACCATCAGGTGTTGGTGTCCCTGTGGGCCAGGACAGCTGGAGGTGCAGCTGCGGCTACCCTGTGTGATGGATGGAAACTGAGGCTTGGCCATGGTACTCACCCCACTGTGGGCTGGGCAGAGAGGCCGACAACCCCAGCCAGGTCCTGTGGCCACCTGCCCATGCTCCCATCCGCTCAGCAGGCTTCCTCCGTCCTCACCATGGCAGGCTGGGCCCCTTCTGCCTATGTATGTGACCAAGGGTACCTGCCACCTCTGCTGTCCCCCGGGACAGTGCTCTGTGCTCTGTAAGGCCTCCAGGAGCCTGGGTGGCCAAACTGGTCCCTGGGACTGGTGGGCCTCATCCAGCCTCGGCAGCTGCCCCGCCCATCCCAGACCTCTGCTCAGGTCTTGCTGCTGCACAGCGGAGCCTCCAGGGCCAGCCCGGCAGGGTGGTGCTGGGCGGCAGTGGTGCTGGACCTCTGGGAAAGGCCAGGTGAGCTGCTGGCCAGCAGGGAAGAATTCTGAGCTGTTCTGCTTTCCCTGACGGACTCTACAAGCATTTATTGAGCCCTGGCTGTGTGCCAGGCCCTGGGCCAGCCCCCAAGATACACCCACAGGCCCCGTTGCCACTGAGTATTGGGATGGCAGTAAAGAGGCTGTCGTTGGAGGCTAGGAGTCACAGAGGAGACTGTGAGGGCTTCTGGGGAGGAGTGCAGGTGTGAGGGGCAGCACTGTGGCATGGCGGTTCCTGAGATCCCGTCAGGAAGGGCATGTGTGGCAGGTGGTACTGGTTTGAGGTGCCTGTGGCAGGCTGTCTGGAGACGGCTGGGGGCTGTGGCTGGGGGACTGCAGGGCTGGGGGTGGGGCACTGCGCAGTACCTAAACTCCGTGAGATCAGGTCCTTTGAGGACTCAGGGCAAATGGGGCACATGGTTCCACGTACCTGTCGTAGAGGACGACAGGCGCCCTGAGGAGTGTGAGGGACAGAACAGCCACCGAGCCCCAACTCTCTTGGCGCAGCAGAGCTGTGCTGCTCTGGTTTGTGTGGAAAGCTGGCCTGTGGGGTGGACGGGGTTCCCAGAGCTGTGCTGGCGTCAGAGAGGAGGCTGGGTGGGCTGCTGGTCCCTCTGCAGCCCAGACAGGCGTTGAAGTCTCCATGCCCGTCTTCCCAGCCCACGTGTGTACCATGTGTGTGCACCCAGGACCCTCTGGCCAGAATCCATGGTGTCTGGCTCAGGAGGCACAGGCACTGCCCTTTGGACTCTGCAGGAGCCATCAAGTGTCTGGGGCTGGGAGCCGCACGCTGTGACCCTGCCCCACTGAGGCCAGAGGGGCGCCTGCCCAGTCCGTGGCCACCACCTTCCCTCTGTTGAGAACTTGGTCCTGGCTGGTCGGCTGTAGGTAGCAGAATAACTGAGTGTGCCCCAGGCTTACGCGCGGCCCCACCACCAAGCCTTGCTACTGAGCGGTGGTGACAGTGATGGAAAGGGCAGCAGTGCCCCGGCTCCAGGCCCAGGCACAGCTCCAGGACGTCGTGTACATCATGCCCACTCCCCTCGGCAGCCACCATGGCGGGTGCTGTGCTGTCCCCATGCTACAGATGAGGAACCTGAGGCACAGCCATGCAGTCACTTCCTGCATCTACACTGCTGGCGAGTGGCTGAGCAGGATCAGAACTCAGGCATGGGCTGGAGGCTGGGGCTCCCCCTCTCTGGCCTGGGCCCATGGGGCCGGCCTCTCTGCTCCCTGTCCTCTGTCCCCCGTAGGGCCAGCTGGTCCTGCTGTGTGTCCAGACTGGCCTCCAGGGAGTCCTGGCCCTTTGGCTGTCCCCTGTCCTGGTCCTTCCACCCTCCCAGTCTACAGTTTTCTAAATCAGACGTCGTCTAACTGCTGCCCTGCCTGGGAGCCCAGAGCCCTGCAGACTCCGTCCAGCCCGGGACAGCCTGTTGACACTCTTACAGGGAGTCCAGGCCCTGCAGACTCTGTCCAGCCTGGAACAGCCTGTTTGTGCCCTCACAGGGAGCCCAGGCCCTGCCACAACCCCACCCTCACTAACCTGTCCTGCTGTGGCATCCCCCACAGCCCTTGGTGCCTGCCCCAGTTGCTGCTGCTCGTACCACAGCAGGCCTCTGGCTGTCCTCGGCCAGACCCTAATCCCATGCCCCACTTACCTGCCTGCTACACCCTGTCCTATGGCCGGCATGGCTGCCTGCCTCTCCCCAGGGACCGTGTGGCTGGGAGCCGGTTGGGGAAGGAGCCCAAGGGGCCTGCAGCGACTGCCCAGGGAGGGGGACCGTGATGTGGACCAGGCCCCCGACGTGGACTGGACTGGGTGGGGGCTACGTTGGTTCCCCTGTGACTCTCCTCTCCGAGACCCTGAGGTCAGAAGTGGGTTGGCCTCTCAGTCCTGTTCATTCTTGGGGCTTAGCCCCTACCAGCCCCCAGCCCTGGGGGTCGTGAGTTCTGTGGGCGCAGCTGGACTGGAATCCCGGGATAAAGGTGGGGCCGAGTGGCGGCTGCCCCTGTGGTCCTCGTACCCCAGGCCTGTGGCTTTAGCGACACCTGGCTGGCGTGGGCCCAGGCTGCCCCCCCGTGGCTGAGGAAGAGGCTCTGTGTGTCCCAGGCTGCTGCGTGGGATCGCCTGTGGCAGCTGCCAGCAGGGGTGAGTGGCTGGGGGAGGGCCTCCCAGGGCCAGGAGCCTCAGACCAGTGTGGGCTGACAAAGCCCAGCCCCTGTGGTTGGTGCACTAGGTGTCCTTGCTGCTGTCGTGAGTTCACAGGGGCCAGAGTGAGCCACCGAAATGAAGCCTGAGCCTGCCTTCCGCTCGGGGCCAAGGCCTTGGACAGGAGTGAGAGAGGCTGCTGTGAGCAAATGCACGGCCCATTCCTGTGCAGGGGCCAGGACAGGGGTCTCTGGAGAGGTTGGGGCCCCAGCAGTGGACTCCTCGTCATCCCAGCAGTGGTGGCCACACAGCAGGGCCCAGCATG